CGTTTACCCATTCGACTTGGCCCTTTTCGTCGTCCTACTCCTGTATGACCGCTTTCTAGTCGTGGACCTGGATTGCGTTTCTGACCGAGGACCCTAGACTTGTGTACTACCTGTTTTTTGTAGGGAGGACGCCTCTTTCCGTTTCACCACGTTACTGTCTCAGGCCGTTCTGGGTAGTAGGGTTTCTCGATGGGGGTAAAGGGGGAGACGTAGTGCATGTGCGATCTTCTATGTCGAAGGGTTTGGTGAGAGGGCTGGCTGGTTGTGGTTGGTCTGATACCACTGTGCGATTGTGTTCTCCTGTGGGTTGGCGGCGGAGTTGGTTATGGCGGTTGGCCACCCGCTGTGATGCAACCGGGTTAGCTGTGACCTTTGTGATTATCGGTGGTGTGGTGTGGTCTTCGCCAAGACGGCGGATTGTAGCCCAGGCCTTCCTGCTGTTATTTGTCATATTGGTGTTCTCTATCATTTCCTTCCAGACTTTCCTTCGTTCTTCCCCAACTTCACTGATCAGGGTCTCTCCAAGTTCCATGGTGGTAGAGGAGAAAGGGTCCTTATTATATTCCTCATAGTAGGCTTTCAGCAGGTCGCTGGATGTTTCTGATAGCCCAGGAATATACTGTGTCTGGCATCCCCTGGGTATGTGGCGCCTAGCTGACCTTTTTACCAAGTCTGTGAAGTTGGAGTAGTTATTGGGAAGTGAGTGTATGTTAGATATGGAATGCTCTATCTCCTGTTGGAATGACAACCAGTCGGCTTTCCGTAGGTTGAACCTCCTGCGGAATGGGACGGTGGTTGCTTGGAGAGCGGATCTAACGGTAATGGCAATTGGCCGGTGCTGGGTATGGGGGATAGGGTCCAGGACGTCCTTCTCAGTTCTGGATACGATGTCACTGCTTACACAGGCAAAGTCTGGGTTGTATCCTCGTTTCCATCTGGCGCTGTGGAAGGATTTGGGTAGTTTAGCATTATGGATTAGGGTCAGGTGCTTGGATTCAAGCCAGGTCTCAACTTCATCTCCATCTTGGTTGTTGTTCTCATAGCCCCATGATGTACTGTGGGCATTGAAGTCGCCGATGCTGATATGGAACCTCCTCTTGCATCTTTCTGGTAGTTCTGTGTACAGAAAAGGGGTTGCGGGTGGTTTGTAGACTGATGTGACAGAGACATTTGGGAGGGCAACTGTGTTGGTTTCCATGTTTCCTTCTGTAGTGTGGGTCCAGACTTCCTCAATCTTGAGGTTTGGTCTGCTGAAAACAGCTGATCCATACTGTCTGTGTCGGGTCTCAGCGACCAGTTTCATTCCAGGGATGGTAGGTCGGTGTTGTGAAGGGCCGATGTGGGTTTCCTGCATGCAGAGTACGTCAAAACGATTGGCCATCGTTGCCAATATCTCTGCCTTGCATCCGGAGAAACCTTCGATGTTGATTGAGACGATTGAAAGTGCGGGTCCAGAGAGGGGCAGGTACCTCAACCTCACAGCAACCACAAGCCTCTGGGTAGTAACAGCTCCCTGCAGCTGTTAGCAAAGAAATTGTTACAGCATACAAGTCTCCTTAAGACCTCAAAATGTCAGTTTTTACAGTTCTGTTTGTGCACAGGTCAAACAAAGAGCTTTGAAATGGTGCTGGCAGGCAGATTTTGAACAGAGCTGGGCTAACTGTTTTTACTCTTTCTAAACGTTATGCTAATGCTAAACTAATCACCTCCAAGCATTTGCTTCATATTTAACACACAGAGTAGCATCGATCTTCTCATCTCTTGTGTGATTCCCAAAAATTAGGAATTAGTCCTTTAAATCCTGACGGAGCAGCTGTAAAACCAATTACAATTCTTGAACAGATTTGAATGGTTTATAATCTAAAGAATAGTGATCTGGGGTGAGAAGAAAGGATTCTTAAGAAATGTTGTCTACAGTTAATGAAGGTCCTTCCATCTGAGCTTTTTCTGCAACTCAATTCATTCTTAAGTACATAATGTCTTTGACAGGTTGAATACGGCAAATAACTTTGTAAAGTTCCTATGGATTAAAATAGGCAGAGTGTAAATGTTGTTTTGTTAGTTTCTCAAGCAAAGACAAAGAAAACTCAGACAAAATCATTTGACGTGTCATTCCATATGTCAGCTAATCTATAAACTCAGAGAGATTGGACTACAAGCCACAAACTTCTTCTGATAGTTCAGCGTTAAACACTTAAGTATTGATTTAAGATGCCTGAGTACCGACATTCATATCTGTAGTTGGTTTGCTCAACGCACACAGCTGGCCGTTAACAGGAAAGAGGCCATGTGTTGCAAACTGTGGTAAAACCCCCAACTAAGACGTTACAAGATAAACATTAAAACAGCTTGATACAATATAAAAGGTACTTAATCTAATTTACACTAACATAACTAACAGTTGCTAATACCTACTTTTTTCTCCAAACAAAAACATTTACACTTGACGCCCAGAAAAGAGCCAAAGGGACAAATTATATGAATCAGAAGCTGAAAGTGACAAAGAATTTGATATCAAACTGCTTAAAATGAAATAAAACTAATCCTCTGATGGTTTACAGGACCATATGAATGATTTGGTCTTTTTAAAGTACGAACACAATGCCACATTTGAGCAGCGATTCAAAGAGCATTGACAGAAACCATCCATGGATGACTCTGGTTTGATCCATGACCCAGGAGGTCATCTGCAGGCTACCATAACCTTGACCTTTGGGCAAAGCAAGCAGATCAAATATTTTACTCCATCATGTTTGTTTTACAAAGCCTTCCACTCCCCACAGTGATTCCAGCTGGGCCCGAGCACAGTTTTTGTGACGCATTCAAAAGAGGAAATAAGCTGAAAGGCCGTTGGGGTGAGACCATGTCAGCTTGGCCTTTAGAGCTTTTGTTGTAGAAAAAGACCCAGAGAACAGGGAGAACCAGAGTTTGAGTCTTTCTTTGCTTGTTGTGTTTTGTTTTATTTTGGTACGCTTGCCTGGGTTTTAGATCTTTTCCCTTTTTTTCGAAATGTAAGAATAATATTGCACACTGCTGTGCGATCAGAGGGCATGGATTTATTGGCCAAGACACCAGAACTGACCTCTGATATGTCTTGTGAAGACATGACCCAAATGACCACTTGGTACATATTTGGTGTTGCTTAATGGGGGTGAGTGGCCTACATAATTCAACATAAATGTAGTATATATCTGCATTCTGTCAGTAGCAGTAACTCTGGGATTACTAACCAGATTAATGATTTACGGGTGTTTGTTTGCTTTCAGACTGAAGTTTGAACTCATGTGCAAACGAGTCTATTCCAATAGACATAAACACAGTAAATTAAAAATAAATATATATAAAAATCCTGTCTTTAGGGTTTTAGGGCCAAGAGGAGTCCTTCAGCTCAATGGTTCATGGTACAAATCTTAAAAGAAGTGTCTAAACTATTCATCTTTTTCTATTTCCCATTGTGGGTATAATTTTCGTCAATCTCTGGAAGGAAAGTATGAAGAATATGTAAATGGTGTGAAGCGGTAGAAGATGGATGGATGGTGAATGGTGAGGTCGCAACCACACAAAGCAGAACTGAATATAGCATAGTCATGACTGACATGTCAAAGACTGCAGTGGTGACGTATTTAGGGTCAAAAGTACATGATGCCTTAATAAATACTATATTTTAAGTTGTATTTATTTTAATGTCAAATCCTCCATCTGGTAATATGGATATGATTGAAACAAATTATCCACAATTATGACAAATCACAGCTGTTCCTATTTCTATATGTAGACAGTATAGTTTGCTTTTTTTTTTTTAAATGTCTTGTCTTATATTGTAATATTGTCACTTGGGAAGCAGTTGAAGTCCAGCTGGGTTGTTACAGATGGTGGAATTTTTCCAAAGAACGAATGTTCAACTCTTAAGTTTGCAACAACAAACTAAAGGTTTGTCTTTTAAAGACCAATTAACCTAGAAGTTATGGAAATGAAGGGTTTGAGTCCAGTCTTCAACAAGTTGAGCTGTTTCATGCCAAATTTACAATCAAGGTTTTTAATTGACACAACACACTTGTGTTTGTGTTTGAAGTGAACCTCCCCAATAAGTAAGAGGGAAGCTGTTCTCTGCTTTTTGGGGTTTCCATTATCTAGTGTGTTGTATAGGTTATATACTGCATCTATATGTTTTATTAATGAATCACATTTTTCAGAATCTATTAACTTTACTGAAAAACCACAAGGCATGCAAGAATATTGTAGGACAATAGTTGTGAATATCAGTACGGCATCCTGTGTATTGGATTATAACTTGAGAGCGACTGCTAGCAATTTTGAGCTAATATTAAAACTAACCTATTTTTTTAAAGACAATAACAAAAAACTATTGAGAGAAATGTGGAGGTGAGGTTATGCCATCATTCTATTTTCTATTAATATTTGTTCAAGTGAGTTTTAGTTCAGTCCAGGTATCAATACAGGACCACATTTGTCTTTAGATCTATTTTTCTTTCTTTTCATGAAGAATTTTGGTTGTCCTCCTTTGGTTAAAACATGACAATATATTTGCATTGATCTAAGCTTAAAGGGAAGTAACCCCCCCCCCCCC